TCTTTTACTATGATCTTATTCATAAACATATAATTTTACTATGATCTTTGCATGGACTAGTAATTCCTCCAAAACAAAAAGGGTGGAAAGAATCCTCATCCTATTCTTAGAGCAGTGTTCCATGATTACAAAGAAGGTTGCAGCTGTTTTCTGTCAGTTTTGGTGGCACTGTATGTTGCAATTATTGGAAATGATGCATGTTCAGTTACAGTAAAATTATATGTTTATGAATAAGATTTACTTTGATTATGTTTCTACTGATTTTGTGACAGTTTTGAAATATTTAACATTATTGTTCTTTTTTTGTATTTTGTTTCTGAAATTCTTATAATTGATTGGAATACGTTATAACTGATCGTTAAACTAAGTGAGATAAGTAAATCTCTGTTCTCCAAAAATTACCTTAAAAGTTATGTAGCATTTCACCCACCATTCCTTTCACAGTCTTTATGTGGGCTCTGCTATATATACAGATTGCTATTTAATATGGGGATTAGTCAGAAGATCAGGAGGGACATGATCTTTGTATAGCTTGCTTTTACTGAGAACTGAATCAGAACATTTGGCCCTTGAGTTAAATGTTGTCTCTAAGTGGCTTGACCACCCCCTTTATGAGCCTCGAATTAAAAGCACAGGAAGATTCAAATAATTCAGAAACAGAGGAGGAGTACAAAAAGAGTATGGTGTTATGCATAAGAGAACCAATGATGAATCAGGTCAAAGGCCAGTAAAGTTCAGCTTTCTATTGTCATATTGGTCTATAAGAATCCAACCTTTAAGATACAAGTAGACTAGTACTCACTTTCTCAACAATTTGCCTGTTTAGTGAGATAACACATAGCTGTCATGGCTATTAGCTGATAATATTTTTAATCTTTATTTTTAATTCTAAGATGAGAAATTAACAAATGAAGATGTTACAAAGCCGCTCCCTCCAAGCTCTAGTACTAAGTCCAGTATATCAGTGGATTCCACAGTTGCAAGAAAAAAACCAGATCCAGGTAAAATGTGTTCACTATGCATTATATAGCATTTTCCCTGATCTGCATCAGTTTAATTCTGATTAGATTCATTATATTGCGTATAATGATTAATAATAATAATAGAATAACAGAGAGAATAATCAAGAAATTTGGTTGTATTCAAACTTCCCCTGCCAAGCAGAATCTTGCTGAATCTTGCCATGGGTGAAAAGAATGTGATAGCAGTGTCTTGCTTTTGGCTTCATGGAAAATAAAGCTGCTGATTTAGTTGTGATAGAGGAAAGAATGGACGATAGATGATATATAGATAGAGAGATAGATAGATAGATGATAGATAGATAGATAGATAGATAGATAGATAGATAGATAGATAGATAGATAG